TATTAAACAGAAACTCGTCCCTCTCCCCCATAGACAGCGACGAGGCCATGACAGGCAATTCAGGCTCATACCAGCAAGAAGCCAGTATAGGAGCTGCTCATTCCTGCCCAAGACAATCAGGGACTGGAACCATCTTTCAAAAGGAACAGTTGAGGCGACAACACTAGACACATTTGTGTCTATTGCCTCAAGCCTTCAAACCCCTAGTGCATAATTTCCTCATCACCACCAGTAACAGAAACATTGCAAATCCCATCTACATGCATAGGAGCCAAAATGATCAATAAATTGATCGTGGGCCCTTAAGATATAGAAGAAGAAGAAAAAAAGTCACAGGAAAAATTGCCCATCAGATAATAAGTAAATCATGACAAGTTTGGGGACCAATTAATATTCATATCTTTCTGTACGACCACACTCCCTTGGTTACAAGAATGAGTTTAGCGTGATTACAGGTATGTGATTGTACAACAGGGGGGGGGGGAGCACCTTGGTAAAGTCAGACAAGATTGGGGAACTAAAGATTTTTTTTTATATTTATGTCCAAAGTCGCATTGATCACATTAAGGCCACTGATGTTTTGTCCGGATAGAGTTATCAGGAAACTAGTACTACCATGCAATGTCCATCACTTTCATTTAATCCAGGGGTCTCAAAATCACGACCCGCGGAACATTTGTGGCCCGCAAGACGATATTTGGCGGTCCGCTACATGACGGCAAAGTCCAGTGTTAATGCGGCCCGCGCGTTTTCCGCATTCTCATATCTATGACGTGAAACTCCGCGACGGGCCTAGTCGATTCCCACCGACTGGTCAAACTCTGGTTTGTATCATGTTGGTAGAGATTTGGACGGTGATTGCAAGGGTAAAGACCCGTTTTAAGATCGGACTAAAAGTTTTTATTTGAAAGCATTTTATCAGACAAACATGGCGGCCAAATGTGGTTTTGAAAAAAAAGTTTAAAAGGACAGATAGTGGGTAATTGATAACCATAATTGTGTAAATCGTAGCAATCTGACGCAGTATCAAAACATTAGCCAAAGAAATCGCTCCTGCACTGACAATCCTCTAAAAATCCTCTTCCAATCATCGCTATGCACAGGCAATGTTCCAGCAGACTGGAGAATAGTGCATGTCACTCCAATCTACAAGAAAGGGGAGCATTCCGACCCTGCCAACTACCGTCCGATATCCGCACCAGCGTGTTATGCATAAGTATAGAGCACATGATCGTAAGTGCAGTTGAGAAGATTTATATATAAACGCCTCAGAATCTTGAAAGCCAAAATATACTCAATGACTGTCAACATGGCTTCCGAGTCTATAGATCATGTGAAACCCAGCTATTGAATGTGTAGAAGACCTGATGACCAATCTGGAGAACAGCAAGTAAACTGACGTGATGGTGATTGACTTCTCAAAGGCATTTGACCGTCTCAATCATAGTTTACTTTTACACAAACTTCAGATATATGGCATCCAATGCTTTACTAAAACATGGATCTCTAGCTTCCTCAGCAACCGATGCCAGGCAGTAGTGGTAGATGGTACAAGCTCCTCCTTTGTCGGTGCTACGTCCCTGTTTGTTTCTAGCAAATATCAATGAATTACCCGAGAAACTGACATTTCAAGTAAGACTTTCGCAGATCACACGGTGGTATATAGGACGATCGCCAACAGATCTGACCAGGACCAGTTAAAAAAAATTTCAATCGTTTAGCTGAGTGAGAGATGGGCTGCGACATGGAATTTCATCCTGTCAAGTGCCAGACACTGTCAGTCTCAAGAATTTGTACTCACTCCCTCTCCCTCTCTCTCTCCCCCACTCCCTCTCTCTCTCCCACTCCCTCTCTCTCTCCCTCTCACCCTCCCTCTCTCTCCCTCTCCATCTCTCCCTCCCTCTCTCTCATCCGCTCTCTCTCCCTATTTCTCTCTATCCCCCCCTCTTCCCCTCTCTCCCTCTCTGTCCATCTCCCTCACCCTCTCTCTCTCCCCCTCTCTCTCTCTCTCCCTCCCTCTCTCTCCCTCTCCATCCTCTCCCTCCCTCTCCATCTCTCCCTCCTCTCTCTGTCTCCTCACCTTCTTTCCCTCTCTCTCATCCGCTCTCTCTCCCTATTTCTCTCTCTCCCCCCCTCTTCCCCTCTCTCCCTCTCTGTCCATCTCCCTCACCCTCTCTCTCTCCCACTCTCTCTCTCTCTCCCTCCCTCTCTCTCCCTCTCCATCCTCTCCCTCCCTCTCCATCTCTCCCTCCTCTCTCTGTCTCCTCACCTTCTTTCTCCCTCTCTCTCCCTCCCTCACCCTCTCCCTCTCTCTCTCCCTCTCTCTCCATCTTCCACTCCCTCTCTCCCTCTTTCTCTCTCTCCCTTTCTCTTCTCCCTCTCTCTCTCTCTCCCTCACCCTCTCCCTATATCTCCCTCTCCCTTTCTCTTCTCTCTCTATCCCTCCATCTCCTTCTCCTTCTCCCTCTCCCTCCTTCTCTCTCCCTCCCTCTCTCTATCCCCTCTCTCTCCATCTCCCTCTCTGTCTCCCTCTCTATCTCCCTCTCTCTCTCCCTCCCTCTCTCCTCTCTCTCTCCCTCTCTATCCCTCCCTCTCTCCCTCTTCCTCTCTCTCCCTCTTCCTCTCTCTCTCCCTCTCTCTCTCTCCCTCTTTCTCTCTCTCTCTCTTCCTCTCTTTCTCCCTCTCTCTCTTCTCTCTCCCTCCCTCTCTCTCCCCCCTCTCTCTCCCTCTCCCTCTCTGTCTCCCTCTCTCTCTCCCTCTCTCTCTCCCTCCCTCTCTCCTCTCTCTCTCCCTCTCTCTCCCTCCCTCTCTCCCTCTTCCTCTCTCTCCCTCTTCCTCTCTCTCTCCCTCTCTCTCTCTCCCTCTTCCTCTCTCTTCCTCTTCCTCTCTATCTCCCTCTCTCTCTCTCCCTCTCTCCTCTCCCTCTCTATCCCTCCCTCTCCCTCTCTCTCTACCTCTCTCTCTCTTTCTCTTTCTTTCTTTCTTTCTTTCTTTCTTTCTTTCTTTCTCTCTTTTGTCTTCCACGTTGATCCAACAAAACTTGATGGCAGAATCACGGCGTGTTCTGATTAGAAATGTGGGTTAGCGCTTCATTTCGCAATATAAAGAGCATGCCAAGGGGAGTTACTTTGTTTGAAAGATCTTCGGTGGAGTTTGAACGAAATTCAGATTGTTGGCCTTCTACTTGAAAAGTGG